CTCAGCCAGCAGGCGGTATTAGCATCAGCCAGTTGGTCTTTGAGCACCTCTCCACTGCTCTCCTCAAGCGTCGTCAATGCCATCGACGATGCGGCCGAGCATCATTGGCATCAGCCATGCGGCCGGTTGCAGTCGGCAGACGGATCACTCATCATCATCATCATCATCATCATCATCATCATCATCATCCGCCTCATCCTCATCATCATCATCATCATCATCATCATCAACATATCAAGCCGGGCTCCGGCCACCCGACATGTGACAGCGAGAGAGAGAGAGAGTGAGAGAGAGAGAGAGCAGCAAAGAAAGCCTAACAGCCTCACGTCACACCCCAAACGAAAACATCGGTCAGCATCATCAGCATCACCGGACTCCACCACACACTCAAAGGAGGCTGCCATCATGGTGACCACAAGCCGACTGCCTTTACTCCATCCATAGTCCACGCTAAGGATTACAAGCGCCATGAAAGTCATCAGCTCACCCGAACCAAAGCCTACTCGTGCCATCAAGATTGCCAGAATCACCCGGTCGAACACGTTTGTCGATCACGCCACGAGTGAGCATCGTTGGCATCAGCCAGGCGGCCTTTCTCCGCTCGACCACACCAGGAACATCGTTCAGCATCATCAGCATCAGCTGGAAAGGAGTTCTTCATCTGGAAAGAAAGGCCAGAAAAGCGGCTGCCATCATGGTCACCATAAGCCGACTGGCTTTACTCCATCCACAGTCCAAGCATCAGCATCACCCGAACTGAGGACTACTAGCGCCATCAAGGTTGTCAGAATCACCCGGTCGAAGACTCCTCCTGCACCATGGCACGAGTGAGTCTAGTTGGCATCGGCCAGGCGGCCTTTCTCCGCTCGACCCGCACCAGCAAACAGCTCAGCACCATCAGCATCAGCCCGACGGAAGTCTTGAACTGCGGATCACCAGAAAAGCCAAACGGAAAGGAAGGCTCCATCACCCTCATCACCAGTCGGCCAACCCGTCTTGTTAGTCCACTCGAAATTTCTGTCGGCACCTACAAAATCGTCATCATCGTCCGGTTGACCCCTGCACCGCCACTGAGCATCATTGGCATCAGCCACACGTCCTTTCTCGAACCAACCATTGCGAAAAATATCGGTCAGCATAACCAGCAGGAAGGCTGGACAGCGTCACATTGAGGTCTGCTGCGCTTTCTCCATCCAGAGTCCGCAGCTCTTCCAGCGGTGGCAATTAGACCGGTAGTCCACATTCGCATCGGCTCGAAAGCCTTCTTCCATCCCAACCGTCCAATGATGATCATCACGATTACGACTCAAATTGCTCCTTCAGCTAATTCTCGTATAAAGAAAGGGGCTGTGAAGTGAGATCTGTTGTCGATTCGGACGGGCCTACAACCCTGATGCGACGGCTCAATCATCTTCGAAGGTAGAAACGACCGACCGAAATAGGCCCGGGAATCCTCCTTCCGCTTTCGAGCTCAGCGCCCAACCCCGGAGTTTGGGAGCGTCGGTGAAGTGAAAAGCTTGCCAATGGTGAAAGTAACACGAAGGGTGCAACCAATGAAGATCCCATTTCAGTTCGGCTTAAGAATGAATCTGTCACGTCAGCCTCAACAGTCAGATATCCTTTGCACAGCCGCATGAAGCACCCCGACACACAAGTCTAATTGGCGAGGTTCCTCGAGCCACACAGACTCAAACCCTGCACCGTCCAACACCCGAAGAAAGAAGGACCCGAACCTAGCATTCGAATTAAGGGTAGAAGCAAACCCTAAAACCAATCTGCACCGGACAGAGCCGAGTTTGACGACACGACAGAAGACCGAGCCGAGCCCCACCCCTCCGGTCCGCGGCCTTCTGACACTCGGCAATCGCGCGGCCGAAAATCCGCCGAGCACGATCGATCTCCAGCTGTCGCACCTGCAAATAACAACAACAACAGAAAAAGCGCGTCACGTCGCTATGGCAGGTCGTATTTGGCAAAAAAACGTGATAGCTGTGTCAGCAATAGCTCCTGGGGGCTGTTGACTGCAGCGGTCGCGGCGTTGATGGATTCGGCGCAGGCTTTCGAGCTGAATGATTGTGGTTGAGGGCTTGGTTTTTTTTTGGAACGGGGGAGGGGAACATGGTCCCTCCGCGAACTGAAACCTGCCTGTGACTTTTAGTCAGCCCCTGCTGCATCCGGGACCATGATTAGGCTGAAACAGGAAATGAGTTCAACCAAAGAATGTGCCGACTCCGAAAAACTGATGTAGATAGACTCAGACTGGACAGTCTTTAGGTGTAGATAGTATGGAACAGTGCTGAGACTTTGTGATTTTGCTTATCATGTCAATCGGAAGCGCTGACAAGCTAGTGGACTTAACAGCAGCCACACCCACCCCAAGAGCGCCTAGTCACAACTCGCAGGGAATGTTTGTATGTGTGTGTGTGTGTGTGCGCGTGTCTTTCATTCTGCTTCCGTGACGTGTCGAATCCTCTCGTTCTGTGATCCGGGGTGCCAGGAGCAGCAGAATTTGATTTGTGGATGCCTGGGCCTCTGAGGCTGAGCCGAGCTTCATGCGGGTCTCGGGTTGCTTGTTGGAGGCTTTCAGGGATGGGTCGGTTCAATTTGGGTGAGCAGTAGATGAAATCGGCGAAACAGAGGACTCTGAATAGACTACCCGCAACCGAATCAACCGCCCGTTTTCATAGGAGTCGCACGGTCTCAGTAGGCCAATCATACTCCAAAAAAGGTCTAATTCAGATGATCGAGGTAAACTGAAACCCGTGCTTCGCGCAAACAGCTAGTGACGCCGATCGCCATCACATTCATATGAAATCTAACAACCTTGAATATCAAGCTCGATGACCAAACACAGGAACTTCCAATGCACCTCGAACTCAGCATAGAGCTTCCACACCTCATCGGCGGCAACACATTTGGCTTCACGTCAAACCAGCTTCTATGCGGGGTTTAAAGGGTTTGAAGACTGGACTGTTGTGGGCTTTGGAGCTCACTTGAGCCCATCGCACCTTGAAAGCTAAGTTCCTGGACTCCAGGTAGCTTGAAACATTGAGTGGCACAGGCTCTGAGACCTGTAGGGAAAGGAAGTCGAGAAGCCACTGTATTTCCCACACCTTTGTAACGATTGCGCATGATGCTGCTGATCTCTGGCATCGTGTCTGTCCTACCGAACGCTCTCAGTGCATCATTTAAGTCTTAACTAACCCAAAGTCTGAAGCCCACTGTGTCGAGTCTGTAGGACGTATCGACGGCGCAAGTTTGGGTAGCATCGAGGCTTCAGGCGCTTCCGCGAAGCTTAAACGTGACCACATCAACCCTCTATAGAATCCCCATCTTTCTGTTGGTGTCTCCTGAAGCCGAAATCATAAGCCCTTCAGTCACTTCAGACCGACAAATCCTTAAAACGACAAAGCCAGAACCTGGACACGCCTTTGCAAAGGAGAACTGCTTGTGCGGGACCATCTTCAGCAAGGCCTCACTCTTTGGCTTCGGTTCTGGGTTTTTCCGCCTTTTTAGGAGTTCAAGTCTTGTAGAGTCTAGAAACTTAGGGTTCGGATTTCAGGCATCGATTCGGGGTTGAGGCCTCGGGTGGTCGAACTGAAGGGTTCGGGGTGGAGAGTTGCGGATTCATGTCTACCAAGCTAGTGGCGACCGACGACGCGCAACCTAAATCCCTTCCTTGAGCATGGTTTTTGCATGTTATTACCGCAGAGGCCGCAGACACCTAAAGTCTAAAGACAGAGATGGTGCTCTTGACCGTTAACTGGTTGACACCTTCCTGACTTACGGTCTGACTAAGCAGGACTTACGGCCTGACTAAGCAGAAGACTGTGACGGTGCAGAAAGCCTGAAGCCCTTGAACTCCCTCTGAACACATATAGAGCTCAACATCTCGGGGTGATAGCCTCTTGCTGTCAAGCTGGCTTGGCTCCTACAAACTCAACGAAAGCGCCGACCCGTAAGCACAGACCCGAGACCCTCCCTTGACTCCATAGAACCCACCACATGTGCTATGCGAGGCCTGCGACTGGAGCTGTGAACGTCCAAACAAAAAAAAGCTCTCGAAGCGCCTCAATCATAAACCTGACACTTGAGGTCTGAACATCGTACACCGCACGCGCTCTTTCAACGTCGCCAGTCTGGAGCTCCTGTCCATCCCCGCAGGATTTGGGTTGAAGAGTAATTATGTTCGGAATTTCATCAGCTGATCATGTTTGCATGTCTGATAGATTCTAGATTCCATACCCTGCAATATCTTAGACCCTAGACCCACAACCCTAAACCCCGAAAGCATCTGAAACTCAAACGTGGCACTGTCAGCTTCAGTTCTCCGAAGTAAGAAGACTCCGAAAACATGACGCAGGATATCTGATCCCTAAACCCTGAAGCCCCAACATCAAAGAGGCCTATACTCTAACACAGTGAACTCGTGAACCTCGAGCGAACGCCCTCTCAAACCTTGCCGGCCCCTGCACTCAGCCCCCTTTCTCACTGCCCGCAGCACGAATTGCACCAGGTGCTCTGAAAGCGGCGCAATGGTGGCAACCTTTGGCTAAGGTTCTGAAAGGCTCTAGAAACTCTGGGCTTCGAAATCGACATATCCTCGGGGAATTCAGGCTTCACAGTGTAGGTTTGGTTAAAGGGGTTTGATCCGGTTTGGGAGTTGGCGCCAAGGGTCGAGACTCGAATAGCTTTCGTGGTCTTGGGACTTCGGGAGTCGGAAGCCTGGGCTTAGGACCCAAACCCTTCCAAACCTTGGGTTTTCCCTCGACATGACTGCGCAAACCCGTCTCCTATCCACAAAACCCCGAACCAGTACCGCTAGAGCTTGACCCTGCTGTGGGAATAGTCGCGACCAACAACATCGAAACCTCTTCAAAGGACCAGAAACCGCTGCCTTGAACCCCACAAGCTGAAGTCTTCAACTCATAGACCAACACCCCCAAGGCACCAAGCCAGCACACAACCCCAACACCCAACTCTAAGCAAAGCCAAGGGACTCGAACCCTTGGGTCAGGCATCAGGGCTGCAGCGCTTTGGGCAAGGATACGGCCTGTTCCAAATTCAGCTGTTCAGCTGCTTTTGTAGACGGATTCAATGGTCTGGACTTTCGATAACTCTGTGCAACGCGTGTCCAAAACTCAATGTGCTGGCTTCTGTAATCGTCTTGCGGTTGGGCGGGTGGGGTACGGTGTCTTGTGCATGCTAAATGGTTTAGGGTGCTGGGGTCCCCTGGGATACCTGGCTCATGCAAGCGATCAAACGAAACTGGCTTGCAAATGAGTTTGCAAACCCACTATGCCTTGGTATGGGCAGGCAGGCAAGGGGAACAGTGGGCACGTGCTGGCAAGCATGGCATGCATGGTCATGTGCTGCCACGAATGCATCTGCCTTGCAGGTCGCAATGAATTGGGGATGTTGAGGCTAGGAGTTCATTTTTCAATGCCAGGCATCCTTGCCAGGTTGCGTTTGATGTGGAGAATGATGGCCATGGCAGCTATCATGAGGATCATACTGGCGATGCCAGTACACTGGTGCCGTTGATGATGAAGATTTAAGCAGAGGAGGAGCATGATGAAAACGATGATGAAGATTACCATGATGATTGTTGTGATGGCGATGACCAATAAGAGAAGAGGAGGAGGACGACGACGACGAACCAGGATAGGAGAATGCAAGGGGAAGATGATCGGAATGAGGATGCGGGTGAGGAAAAGTATGCGAAGAGGGTTGTGACGGGTTGTAGCTGTAGTAGAGAAGGAGGAGCAGGAAGAGGAGGATAAGGAGGAGGAGGAGGAAGATGCTACTGCTAGCATCTACTACTACTACTACTACTACTACTACTACTACTACTACCACCGCTACTACTACGACGAATACTAGCCTGTATACTGGTACTCAGGCTATACTAGCACTGGTACAGTACGACTACGAGTACTGGTTTTGATTACTCGTTGTAGCAGCAGCAGCGGCGGCGGCAGCAGAAGCAAGGGAAGCAGTCGTTGTCGTCGTCGTCGTTCTGCCATGACTGGATAATTGAATCCTACCTGCGCCCTTCGTGTCGTAGGCCGTGGCCAAGGGATGCAGCAGCTCCACTTGTTGCTGCCACATGCATCTCTGCTCCATCTCCTGGCATTGGGTTTACCCGGTGACGGCTTCCTACAGACAAGGCCACAGATTGCCCAGGAAAACAACACAGGCCTCGAAGGAGAACCCTCACCAAAAAGCTGGTTGTAATACAGTGCCTAGACGCTCGGGCTCAGTAAGTTTCATAAAGAGCTGCAGCAGTTTGCGGGTCTGCTTGTACGGCGCGATCAAATCAAACGGTGAAACCCTAAACCTGGAGAAATTAAACTTTAAACCCCTGAAAACGGTCACGGTTCCTATTTCTTATGCTACGAGCGAGAATTAGACCCTCCTCAGAAACTTTGTGCTCACCCGTCCATCAACAGCGTGGCCAGTGTCGAGCTGGAGCAGCTTGGCCGGATCCCACGGTGGCACATCTCATGCCAGATCTGGTCAGAGCTTTGTGGCTTTGTATTCGTAGGGATGCAGCCCGAACTTTGGGCCGACAACCTGACACCCCAAACCTCTAATCCCAACAGCCTCACAATCAGACAATGAGTGAAGGCTTGGGGTTGCAGCTCTACGCTTGATGGCGTAGGAAGCAAGGAAATGTCTGGAACAGGTAGAAGAATCAGGACACTAAGGGGACAACTCCGCCCGGTAACTCCGAATCTTTCCAGACCGAGGAAGAGGTCAAGAATAGCTTCGCGACACCGAGCCGAAGCATTTGGCTTTGCCTCATCTTATGATAGCCACACCTTAGTCTGTGAACGCAGGGCACCCTGAACATGGAACTTAAAGCATATCCCAAGTGAACCTGGAGAGCACAAACTGCACGCCTCCAAGGATTTCTGCCATTCACGCGCACTCCTCAGCTGAGGCTCGAGGGTTGGGCTTTCGGTTTCAAGTCAGCCTTGGGCCCGTGACGCAGACCATCTGGCTCCACAAGCCATGTCCCGACATCAGAATCACTACAAGCAAGAGCAAAAATCAGAGCACGAAGACTGATAAGACTAGTTTTATCAGCAGCTTCACAAGGACTCTAGAGTTGTGTCGAAAGCAAGGAATGACAGGGCACCTGTAGGGTTGAGACTTTTAAACTCTTGAGGACTCTGCCAGGCTCTAGGCCTGTCGCCGCAGGGCTAGGCTAGATAACAGGATCCAACAGCAAGCCACCCCTGAACAGACACTTAATTAGGCACTCTGAGCTGCATCGGGTCTCGGGTTTGCGGCTTCAGGTCCAACTGGGGCTTCAGTATGTCGGTCTATGATGTGCTTCGACAGACTTGGAATTCGGCGGGCAGGAGTCGCTTGTGTCACGGCCAGCACATGCAATTGTGGACTGCTCGGTCATGCAAACCGATGCCTGCCATCCCTGCCAACCCTAGCCCTCAAAACTCCAACCTGGAAGCCTCTGCTCTGAATGCCCAAATCCCGAATGCAACCGCCTTTCCTGCAGGCAAAGCCTCGAGCATGCGAGAATAGTGGAATAGCACATAGTCCTCAGAGCAAAGGCCCCAAAGGGTCGAGAGGCCGATTAAAGGTTCAAGCCTTCAAGATTGTCCCACACAACTTGTTTTGGGGAGCACGACGCCAAATTAGCCTTTGGTCTGCTTGCTCCAACCTTGCCCTCGTCTCGGGCAGGCAAACTACCCTAACCAACTTCGGGCCCGCAAGCAACGCTCCTCAACGAGCTTCCGGGCCGACACACCGGCAGCTGCACCGTGGTCACAAAACACGCACCTAACCCCTTGAACTTCATCCTTTTCGACATAGACTCGGGATACAGGGCTTCGTATCCAAACCGTTTAACTCAATACTAGATACCCAAAGCCTACACCCTTGAAACAAGGCCCCTCAAGCCTTCAAGCCTACGACCTGCACCTAGCAGCTTCGGGTTAACCAAACGTCTAAGCCTCCAAAGCTTGGACTCTTGGCAGCCGTGAAGCTCATCGCACTGGACCGACATGTCGGAAGCCTGGACGAATGCACAAAGGGGACATACGGGGGGGCTTCGATTTTCACTGGCAACCCAGAAACTTACAGTGAGCCGTGGCCCCCTGCAGCTTAGAGCCAGAAACCGCATATCCGAAAGACACTGGCAACCCACTACAGTCTCGAGTTAAATGCCAAAAATAACGTGTTGTACTCAGAGTTCACGGCCGGTCTTCTGACGTTCTCGGATACACCTCCCCAACATCTGACTTAAGCACACAAATCTACACCCGGACCTTCACCCCACACACTAAGCCACTAAGCCATACAAACTGCACCCGAAGCGCTTAGCCTGAAATCGATATAGGAAACTGGATACTTACTTTAAGTACCGGGTGGGTAGATTGCAATATAGCTATATTAGGATCGATTTTCACTGTCCCACAGTCTGGGTACGGACCTCTCCCAGCAAGGAGATCGCTGTTTGCCAGGCCGTTGCTTTCTCGCAGGCCCCTCAGCTGTCGACTTGGGTTGGTAGGCGGTCTGAACAGAGTTGGGGGCCAGCGAAGGTTGCGGGGTTTGGGGCTGCGTGCGGGATGCGGTGTCCATTCGTGATCCAAATTGACAACTGCCAACTCCAATACATCGGCTTCTCGTTGGTCTCGAAATGACAACCCTCCGTTTGTGACACCGAGTAACGAATATGTCGATCTCTGAGCGTGTGGTGCCGAGTTGATTTGGGCTCGTGTCTGAATCCTGCCATTATTTGGGCGAAGCATTTTGGTCCTGTCTCTAATCTCGCCAGTACATGGCGGAAGCATGGTGGCCGTGCTGCTGAATCCCAATTGAATCCAGCCAGTTCTCGGGGGCAGATTCTCCGGGAAGCACGATTCCGGATTGTGAATTCTAAAACATCGGCCGTAAGGGCTAGGGGCACACTCAAATTTGTAAGACACATGATAAGCATGCTATGGGCGCAAGCAAAAAGCAAGCATCATGCAAATTCTTGACAGAAAGCTGCACTGCATCCTCATTTGCTCCGACAGCCTGCCCTGCTTGCGATGACGACGCCGACTGGAGCCACCCTTCCCCAACGAAAAAACCTCTACACAATCATAGTCCGCACAAGCAGACAATAAATTCTTAAACCCAAGTCCCTACACCCTGAATTCCGAAACAAATCATCGCCTTCAGCATAGAAACATGGTCTCGGGCAAGGTATGTTCCAACTGTATACGAAACCTCTAGAGTTGAGTACTAGTGTTAGTTGCTGAGTCCCGTAGATTGAACCAAATTGAACCCTAATTTCTTGTCGAAAGCCAGAACCCCGACCGCTGCCAATTTGCGTGCTGCAGATCGGACCGCGCTGACGGACCGCTGAAGTTGTAGTTGCCTGTCGGCCTCTGACACTTACATTCTTATAGCTACAGCATCAAACTCATTCTGGCTGCTATAACCTACTGTAGCATTGTCGTTACCGTGTTGGCGTTTGGAATTAGGGCTTAACCATTTTCGGGTGCCGGGGCTTGCTTGAAGACCTTTCAAAGAGCGTGACTTGGGGGCTTGGCTCTGGGTTGGAGTCTTCATCCCAGCTTAAAGAAGCAGGCACCCTCAAATTGAGACTTCGGACCCCGCCTGCGACAGGGGCGACTCGCCTACCCTGTCGCCTCAAATGCACCGGTAAGTTCGGTCATGGTTCTGAGCTGTTGGGAGTGTGATGGCCTAGAGTTACGGCATTTCTGACCTGTTTCCAACTGGGCTTGTGACACAAGTGCAGAATGCAGGTTGAGACGCCGATGTGTCTACAGATGACGTGATGGTGATGGTGATGGTCATGGTGGCGCTGATGGTGATGATGATGATGATGATCACGGTGAGGGTGAGGTCGATGGTGATGTAGATGATCAAGGCATGGTGATGATGATACGACGCTGATGGTGATGGTGAGGACGATGATTACAACCTCATGAAGCTGATATGGTTATGGCGACGCTGCTTACGTTCATGACCCCAGTGCTTGCGATGTCAAGAGCCATGACGGCGCTGACACCATGACGATCACGCTGGGAACCTTCCTGACGATACCGATGTTGATGTTGAGGATGATGAATCATCTGACGACGATGACAGCTTCGTTGGCGATGCAATGATAGTGCCGATCTAGTTAAGTCAGACCATGGTGGTGGTAATGGTGCTGGCGGCGACGATAGTTATAGCATGATGGTAATGATCGTTGGGATGATAATGACGGTGGCGATGGTAATGATGATGGTGGAGTTGCGAGGCGGCTGAGCACTGTAATAAAGCCACGTATCACGATAGTCGTTGACACTGCTGCGACTGTTGCTTGTTGTTGCTTGTTGCTCTTGTTGTTGCTGCCGTTGTCGTCGTCATACTCGTGCTGTTATTGCTGGTGTTGTCGCTGTTGATGCGGATGTTGCGGATGGTGCTGGTGATGCTGAACATGATGATGGTGACGATGGTGTTGATGTTGTTGTTGTCGTTGTTGTCGATGTTGTTGTGGTTGTCGTTGTTGTCGTTGTTGTCGCCGTTGTCGTTAATGTTGCTGTTGTCGTTATCATTGTTGTCATCGTTGCTGTTGTTATTGTTGTCGTTGCTGTTCTTGTGTTGTTTTCGTCGCTGTCGTTGTCGTCGTTGTTCTAGTTCAGTTGTTTTTCTTGCTGTTGTTGATGGTAACATTGCCAAGCTATTGCCGTTGCTATTGCTATTGCTATTACTATTGCTATTGCTATTGCTGTTGTTGTTGCTGCTGTTGTTGCTACTACTGTTGCCGCTGCTGTTGATGTTGCCGTTGCTGTAGCTGCCGGTGTTGCTATGGCTTGGCTGTTGTTGTGGCTGGTGCTGTTGTTATTGTTGCTGCTGGTGCTATTGTGTTTGCATCCTGTTGTTGTTCATTTATGCATTGTTGTTGCTACTGTAGCTAGAATTTTTGCTGCTTTTGTTGCTGCTGCTGCTGCTGCTGTTGTTGTCGTCGTTGTTTGGTTGGTGATGCTGGTGTGCTTGTGCGGGTGATTGTTGTGCGTATTGTCGCGGTTGAGATTGTGACGCTGAGGTTCTTGTGGTTGCTGTGTTTGTTGTTGCTGCTGATGCTGTGCTGGTGTTGCTTTTGTTTTGTTCGTGGTGTGGCGGCGGTGGTGGTGGTGGTGGNNTGGTGTTGTTGGTGTTGTTGTTGTTGGTGTTGTTGTTGTTGTTGTTGGTGGTGGTGGTGGTGGTGGTGGTGTTGGTGTTGTTGTTGTTGTGGTCTTTGGTTGGTGTTGGTGTTGGTGTTGGTGTTATTGCTGCTGCTGTTGTTGTTGTTGTCGGTGGTGGTGGTCTTGTGTTGTTTGTGGTTGGTGGTGGTCGTGCTGTTGTTGCTGTTGCTGTTGCTGTTGCTGTTGCCGTTGCTGATGTTGCTGATGTTGCTGATGTTGCTGATGTTGCTGCTGTTGCTGCTGTTGCTGTTGCTGTTGCTGTTGCTGTTGCTGTCGCTGTCGCTGTCGCTGTCGCTGTCGCTGTCGCTGGTGCTGGTGCTGGTGCTGGTGCTGGTGCTGGTGCTGGTGCTGGTGCTGGTGTTGTTGGTGTTGCTGATGTTGCTGGTTTTGTTGTTGTTGTTGTTGTTGGTGGTGGTGGTGATGGTGGTGGTGGTGGTGGTCGTGGTGGTGGTGGCGGCGGTGGTGGTGGTGGTGGCAGGAGGAGTAGGACTGAGTAGGACTGAGTAGCACGGAATAGTGACTAGTGACTCAGGTGGTTGAGGACAGCGAAATCTTCGAGTTCACCACTGCCACCGCGGGATGGGAGAACACCCTCCTGGCCGGCGTGCAAGCCTTGAAGGTGCTCTGGCTTTAGATGCTAAATTAGATTCCCAACTCTACATTCTGAACACTGTCAACTCTTGTAGCAGATTTCGCAGCAGTATTTCGGAATGCGTTTTTGAGTTTGTTTCAGCTTGTCAGTTTTGATGTGATGTTACAGGACCTAAGGGCTTTAGGGCTATTTGCAGGGGTTGGCTCAGCAACCTCAGCAATGTACTTGGCCTCGAGGAGCAGTCTCGGAAACAGATATTAGGTTTCCAGAAGCAGCTTCTGAAGCTCTTCTAAAACCTATGAAGATGGAGCATTCATGGATTCGAAGATTCCAGTCCCGGTCAACCAACATTTGGCCATGTCACTTTTGATTTCATTGGACAACAACGCAAATGCCCAACGTCGGCCCCATGACTTGGTACACAGGGCGCAGGAAGGTGCCGCGCGCCTTCGCCCCAGCTTCATATCACATTCCTCGCCAAAGCATCCGCCATCATCTTTATTACATTGTTACTACTATTACCGTTCTGATTAGCCAAGGCATCCGGCACCGATATGCTGATGGGGTGCACGTGGTTGGACGACGGCATTGCTTTGCAGAAGGCACCTGGGCCGTGAGCCGTCAAGCCCAGTCGGGCCTAAACCCTAAATCCTCGCCCCTGAACTCTAAACCCGAAGCCCTCGCCCCTGAACTCTAAACCCGAAGCCCTCGACCCTGAACTCTAAACCCGAAACCCTCGACCCCGGGATTAAAGGAAGATGTATTCATGCTTGTGCTCGGGAATCTTTACGGCACAGGGCCTAGGGAGGCTCTTGACCTGGAGTAGATACAAGATAGGGGCCCGAATAGTTATTATTCCTTCGGCCTTCTTATCCCCCGAAACCCTAAGCCCTAAAGGCTAATTACAGTCATGAAGCCAAGGCTTTCGAGTCAAGGCTGTCGGGTGTAAGGTTTAGGTATGAAGTTTAGGGTATCTTCAGGACTGAGGGTGTGCTTATTACAATTATGAAGTTGCCCCGAAAGCCTACCCTAATCGTTAAGGCCCCTATACTAGTAGTAGAATGTCTTCGGTTATGGTGGGATGTCAAGGCATGGTACCTGTCAAGGTGGTGGGTTTCAGAATTTGTGAATTAAACCCTACACCCTGAACTAATTACTCTTCGAGTGGAGGGTGCTAAGGTGGCGTGGATATTTGCGGTTGTCGCCGTAAAGTCCCGATTATGCAAGTTCGACAGTAGCTTTCCACGAAATGCAATTTTAATTGTTAAGGCCACTATATTGAATCCCAGACACATGTCACAAAACCCTAGTAAGACTTCTCTCATTTGTAAATATATATATATATATA